AAAGCGGCGATAGCTCGGTGGTGAACATTATTTCAAAATTTGACGGCGAACGTAGAGCTTCCGAATCCTACCACACTTCTTTAGTGAGTCCAAATTGAAACAAATATCCTCCCTGGATTAATCGCTCCCGTCTCGAATGTGTGCGGATATACTACATTTAGTCACGATTAATGAAGGGGGTAAACTCCAGAATAGGTGGGTTATTATTTTTTTTGAAACCGATAAGCCGAATCATAGCATATAATTACGAATGGTCTTGGTTGTATTTACTCCATACCTGGAACGTCATATGAAACAAATGGCAGCGCTGCACTGCCAAAAGCGATTCCGATGAATATGAGCTTCTAATTTATTAAGAGATGTGGAGCGGATTTGAGAATATCGCAGAATTTCAGGCTGCAGACTTACAGAGTGCTGCTAATTATAAGGGTTCTCGAAGCTTAAGCTTTTCAGTGAATACCCCTTTAGGGGCAGAATACCAAAATAACTAGAAAGCACTTTCCGTCTGCTGGAGATGTTGAAAGAAATATCTCAACTGCAGCTCAAAATAGTCCTAAATCACGACATCTGTTTCATCGCAAAATATTTGAAGAAAGTGAATACCTCACTGCAATAAAAAGACCAGAGAATAGCTTTTGTATTCAAAAGGGGCTTCCCAACCATAAGGGTAATTGCGACGTCAGTGAGTGCAAAATGTGACATCCACAAACAATTGTGGGGTACATATGGTAGTCTCTGAGAGCAACCATCCAAAACGGGGATGTGCCTCAGAAAATGCTATTATTGGTAGCCGATATTTAATGTGAAAATTTAGAAGGATAGAAGCTACTACCTGGAGAGGTCATGATCTACCTTTCCCATGCCCCATACTCAGAAGGAATAATTCATTCAAAGCAGCGAAATTGTCGTTAGAAGACATCTAAAGACTGTTAGGTTGCCTGCATCACGTGTACAAGCATCTTTACTCTAGAATCCATAGCATAAACTTTTGGCTTATCTACTCCGTTATCCACTGTCGTCCGTTATGGACATCATGGCTTGTAATCCTGCTGGGCTTGGTATATCCAACCTCATGACATAGAGACTTGTCTTGACAGCATTACAGAAAGCAACAGATTTTGCAAGAGCTCCATTAAATTATGAATTTCCTTTATCACCCAGTTAGTTACCAATGGTAGCGTCTTTGCAACTAAAGATGTCAATCGGTTATCATAACGCCTTTCAGTATGTCATGCCATGGAACTTGGTACGATTCAATGGTCAGTCACGTCTTCAAATGTAAAAAATCAGAACAAATTCGTCAATCACTGGACGTCCAACTCGCTTATACATATTGTCTCCGAAAACTCTAGGTTAAGAAGTAAGTTGCGAGATAGATAAAACTGTAACAAACACGAGCAAATGAACATAAGCAAATGAGGTTAAAGGAAAACAGTCCTCTTATGGCCAACTGATGAAACTGAATCGCACTGACACCAAATTGGACTGAGAGGGCTACCGGTACCTGGCGCCAGGAGCTGAATAGCCGCTGCGTGGCGTATGTTCCATCTGCTCTCCGGTTTGGCTGTAACGGTGGCGACCACAAAATCGTCAGGACGTGATGTTCTCGTGAATGTATCGGGGCCATTTGCAGTTGTTTCGTCACAAGCGGCATTGAGGGGTTCATCCAACAATTGAAGCCCATTAATCCAATCCAGGCCCAAGAGATCAAGACCTGTATAGTTCGTGAGGTAGAAAGTGCCATTGAGTTGGATCTCCTTGAACGTTACGGAACAGTTCAGCTTCCCGGTTAGCTTGAGGCTTCCACCAGATGCATTACGAACGATGCACGTTGTGGGTTCCACTGGTGGCCTTCCACTTTCGTTCCAGACTCGTTTTGAGATCAGAACCTGTATCCAGTTGGAGGGTAACTGGTGTGCCATTGATACATAATGTGACGAATTTACGTCTACCGGGTGATTTTATCCTGAATGTGGCGGTCATGACCTCTGCCTGCGTCCTTTTATCCGGTCGGTGTTTGCCTGAGCTCCTGAAGTTGTCTCTGCAGCATTCTTCTTTATGACCCTTTCGACTGCACTTACTGCACCTGTGGTCCCGATAGGGACCTGACGGTTCGCATCAACGACATCCCAGTGTCATGACCTCTGCGTCCTTTTATCCGGTCGGTGTTTGCCTGAGCTCCTGAAGTTGTCTCTGCAGCATTCTTCTTTATGACCCTTTCGACTGCCTGCACTGCACCTGTGGTCCCGATAGGGACCTGACGGTTCGCATCAACGACATCCCAGTTCGTTTGCAACTTGATTCTGGCTCCGATATCACGCTGCTCAGTGAACGAACGCGGAAACGAATCGGTAAGCCACATGTGAAGCCGACTGAATACTGGGTCCGTAATGCTTCCGGTGGTAAACTGAAGTTGACTGGCGAGGTTGACTGCCTCATTAACTTCAATGACTCGACGGCACAAGCCACCTTCTACCTGACGTCATGCCCCAAACTTGATCTCATGGGGCTAGATTGGGTCGAAAAGCTAAATCTGCTGGATAAACCAATCAATTCTATTTGCAACCGCATACACGCAGCACCCGGACAAATTGACTTGCCGAAGCGTTCACTTGAGCACCTCCTACAACGTCATGCATCTGTATTCACTGACGGTGTACAAAAGTAAAAGCCAGACTGTGCCTCCTCCCTGCTGCCAAGCCAGTCTTCAGGCCAAAACGTTCAGTGCCGTATGCAGCCTTGCCCATCGTTGACCAAGGACTGGACCGACTTCAGAAGGCGGGTGTATTCCAACTAACCAACTACTCGGCTTGAGCCGCACCTATCGTGTTGGTGAAGAAGGCTAACGGGACGATCCGGTTGTGCGCAGACTTCTCCACCGGTCTCAACGCGGCTTTGGATACCCATCAATACCCTCTGTCTCTCCCAGACGACTTGTTCGCGAAACTGAATGGGGGTAAATGTTTCGCAAAGATTGACTTGGCCGATGCGTATCTCCAGGTTGAAGTAGAGGAAGAATCCCGAGAACTGCTCACGATCAATACGCATCGAGGTCTGTTCCAGTACACTCGACTGCCATTTGGTGTCAAAGTAGCGCCGGCCATATTTCAACAGATTATGGATACGATGCTGAAGGATGCACCAGGCGTTGCCGCCTATTTGGATGACCTCATTGTCATGGGTTCCAATCCCCACGAACTGTGGCAGCGCCTTGATTACGTGCTCAGTCGTATCCAAGAATATGGCTTCAAAGTGCGCCGAGAGAAATGCACATTTTTCATGCGGTCGATAAAGTACCTTGGGTTCATTATTGATGAACATGGCCGCCGTCCAGACCCGGAGAACATTGAAGCGATCAGACGTATGCCAGCACCCACAGACGTGGCGTCCCTCAGGTCTTTCCTCGGTCTCGTCAGTCACTACAGTTCGTTTCTGCCTGCCATGCATCGCCCTCTAGGACCACTGAATCAGCTACTTACCAAGGACCACAAGTGGACATGGTCAGGAGAATGTCAACGCGCCTTTGACTCTGTCAAATCCATGCTAAGTTCCGATTTGCTACTCACACACTACGATCCATCGATGGAAATTGTTGTGGCGTCGGACGCCTCGAACTATGGAATTGGCGCAGTGATTTCACACGTATTTCCAGATAGCAGCCAGAAAGCCATTGCACATGCGGCCAGATCCCTGACTTCAGCCGAGCGCAACTACAGTCAGATAGAAAAGGAAGCCTTGGCGATCGTGTTTGCCGTTAAGAAGTTTCATAAAATGCTTTACGGCCGTCAATTCACCCTACTGACCGATCACAAGCCACTTCTTGCTGTGTTTGGCTCGAAGAAAGGAATTCCGGCATATACTGCCAACCGGCTCCAGCGATGGGCCACTCTGCTTCTGGGGTACGACTTCAAGATAAAATACCAGTCCACCACCTGTGACAAGCCGACGCACTGTCCCGACTCATTGATTCAAGCAGGTCAGAACTAGAACATACTGTGGTCGCAACAATTGCCTTGGAACCAGAGGTTAACCGTGTAGTATCCGAAGCGGTTCGCACCCTCCCAGTAACTGCCGACAAGGTCCGCCAGGTTACCGACCAAGATACTGTGCTGCAGCAAGTCATAAAGTACCATCGCAATCAGTGGCCGCGTACCTGCCAAAAAGACAAACTGAGGCCTTACTTCAACCGGCGTGACGCACTATCAATAGCCGATGGATGCCTATTGTTTCCAGAACGTGTGGTCGTCCCAAAGAAGTTACAACAAGCCGTCCTGAATCAGTTCCATAAAGGGCACCCGGGAACAAACAGGATGAAAGTCCTTGCTCGGAGTCATGTCTACTGGCCTTTGATGGACTCCCAGATCAAACAAGTTTCGGAATCTTGCCTGCGGTGCGCTGAAGCATCCAAGTCACGGGTGAAAACCTGCCTAAGCTCGTTGCCGCATCCAACCCTGGTCTCGTCTTCACATCGATTATGCAGGTCCAGTGGGTGGCCAACACTTTTTGGTCGTAGTCGACGCTTACAGCAAATGGCCGGAAATTTTTCCGTTGAACAGCCCCACAACCGTCATTACAGGCCTGGAACTCCGGCGATTGTTCAGTCGTTTTGGGACGCCAGAGACTATTGTATCCGACAACGGCAGCCAGTTTACGTCGTCGGCGTTTGCACACTTTTGTCGTATGGCATAACGCATACACGCTCACAGCCGTTTCATCCACAGTCGAACGGCCAAGCGGAATGCTTTCTTGACACTCTGAAGCGGGCACTTTAGAAGTCCAGAGGGGAGGGACCATCGGAAGAAATTTTGCGAAGGTTCCTGCTGGCATATCGAGCGACGGCAAACCCCAACTCACCTGATGGAGTATCACCAGCAGGGGCACTGCTCCGAAGGAGTCTTCGAACACCGCCTGACACTATCCGGCCACAAAAAAGGCAGGCTAGTCACCGCAACACTAGAATTGAGGGACAGTTCAACCGGCATCATGGAGCAACTGCGCGCTCATTCACCGAAGGCCAGAGAGTGTTGGTTCGTGACTATAGCGGCAGACACCCTACGTGGACCCCAGGACTCATCCTTCGCCTGCGCGGTAAAGTGCACTACGAGATTCAAGTTGGTCCAGCCAAGTGGATACGCCACACTAACCAAATCCGGCCGACAGATGCGCAATCCTGCATACAGGACTGGGTGATAAGAGTCTAGAAATGCTTCTGGACACTTTTGATCTCGGCACCACCCCAGAAAATCAATCAGTTGCTTCGTCAGAGGCCCAGCCTGAGCACGGATTACAACCGCGACGCTGGACAGACAGGATCCGCAAGCCAGTGGGGCCACTGCAAGTGAACCCCAGGCTTCGAAGCTACGTCAACAAAATTCAAGGAGGAGGTGTTAGGCAGGAATCCACACGGATCCCGCTATACCGCACGTCTTTAGGCGCGGCTACGGTCGATAAGCCTGGCCCGCACGAGGTTGGCCCAGAATTCAGGACGCTTGCCGGTCCGGCATCAAGGCGAGATCTGATCTGGACCCAACAGCCAATCATGACCCAGTATTGGCCAAATGCCGGTTGCCAATGGCGCATCCAGAATGCGTCAGAACTTCCAGAAAGATATAACCTCTCACGCTATATATACGAAGCGCTGTACAACTGTTCCTGATTTCGTTTTGGGCGTTAATAGACCTTTTGCACCTTTGGTGTTTGTTTTGACGTGAAGGCTATCTTGGGAGGCTCAGACCGAGAACTAAGCTGAGGAAAATACCGTTACTACATTATCCCACATGGGTAGTCCACTTTCATGGATTTTTTCTCCAAGTACTACGTTTTCCAAAAAAATTCGGCTTGTTAAACTGAAAAACCTACAAATGCTTGGAGACTGATGCGGGTGCCTATGTCAATACGTTACATCGGGACGCTTCCGTCCCAAAAATTTAGCAACGTCCAATGTGAGCTCCAGCCAAAGGATTTAACTTTCCGTTTAAATAATTGGTACTTGAAGCCAGGTCAAATTCACGCAAATTGCCGAATCCCCTCTATTAAGTGTGGAATTTTCACCATTCTCGGTTGGGATCAATGGGGTGTAATCAATTCTTACGCATATTACATCTACAAAGCAATACGGAATTAAGGAAACTCGCGAATACGGATCATCTTTATCCGTGGGTATGTTTTGAAGGGAGTTGCACCCTGTTGCCGAAATTCACTGTTTTGTCTTAGCAAATATCAGACTAACGTTTTTGTGTCCTATTATAAAAGTTCTTCAGAATTGAAAAATTCCAAGGTTTTTACATGTTCCAATTTATCAACAGATGCAAAATATAGAACACTCTAACCACTAAAGAAGATGCCGTGCAGTGCAGCCATATAACTGAGTTTCAAAGGTCGCGCGCACAAAGATACAGTAAGGACTGTGTTGATGTATGCCCGCGAGACGTGGCTTCTGCGAACAGCTGATGTGAGACGTCTTCAGGTCTTTGACCACCGATGAGTCAGAAGCGCTGCTGGTGTTGAATGACGTCAGCGAATTAGCAACAAAGTGATTGGAAAACCGGTATCTGGTTGTGTAGCAGCACCATCGACTGCGCTGGCTCAGCCATGTGCTACCCATGACAAAACACCATCCATCGGAACGAGTTTTGCCCTCCGTGTCTTCTTCAAGGTAGCATAAACAACACACTAGTCGACGTATGACTTTGAAAGAGGGTGTGAAAGAGAATACAAAGAGTTTGGATGTTGTTTTTTGTAAGCCCTACAGAAAGGAGCCCCTCACTCTCTGTTCACTTGTCTGAAGACACTGCAGGAAATGGTGGCTTATCGATATCAGTGGTGTTCGTGTTGTCATTTTCTTTCCGGCCTTTCTGATTCAATGCTTGTAGGTGTGTGTACCCCGGATTGCTTGACATAGGCTATCACCAGGTCCCTCCCTTACCCACATTTTTCCCTTTTTTTATTCAAAGCCTGAAATATATTTAGATTAATCTGTGTTTGTACGTTAGTGAAGCATGAGTGTCAACATTGATATTGGTGTCTCTGATGATCATGATGCTTCACTGATGATTCAGGAAGAGACAACTAATGCAGAACATTTGTAAACCACAATTTTTTTCATGCATTGGTGACTGCTCCACAAGTTCAACACAACTGGACGTTATTTCTTTCGTTTTGAGAAAATTTACTTGCATAGCTAGATTTTTCCACGTCGCTATGGTGACACAAAAGGAAATTACCAGCGTAGCAAAAGAAAGAAACCCAGCTTCATCTGTCCAGGTAGTAGCTGTTAGGTTGTGTAGTTGAAAAAAATTATTTAAATTTCTCGAGGACGTGCTTGCCCACAAATGTCAATTACAATGAAAAACTGAATTGCATTCCACTTGATCATTTCTTATGTCAATGCAAGAGGAAGTGACCGTGAACACTTTCAACTTCCTTTAACCAAGCAGCTTTCCATATTTTAATGGGAACTCCAAACTGAAATAAAAGATTGACAGTCATTGTGTTGTTTTGGCCCTTCGGTGACTAAATATGATAACTCAGGTTAGTCTATTATTCGTACCTAAGTTCTAGATGCCGCAGCCCAATAATTTCTTCAAATCAAAGAGCCCTCTGTACAGCAAGTACAGCAAAGTAAACCTAATAAACGCTTACACGATAATACAAATGAGGTGGGTGACGAGATTTTGAAGGTATATTCTCACTTTGCCCTTCACCATAGATGACATTTTTTGCGAATACCCACTTGAGTCTCTTGTTGACACCAAGTTGGTCCGAAATGGAGTGTATGTGGTTTGCAGATATTATAAGCCTGTTTGTTCAGTGTTCATACCTACCACCTGGAATCATACACAGTTGAATCTATCAGGCTCTTGCACCATCAGAGCATACTATTTAGTCTTGTTCCAGTATGATGCCATACAAAATAGTTTTGACGTTCACCTGCTTGTTGCTGTACAATAGCTAGTTTGGATTGTGTAACTGACTGCCATTCTTAATTTTTGTTACAATCTTACAAAACACAGTCAAATTCATCTAAAATGTCAGGCAGGATAAACCAGTATGTTTATTTTTACGTATCCCACGAATTACTAGGTAAACTTAAATGCTACCCATCTATTTTTTATTTGAGAAGACGCCACTTGAATCTTCTTTGGAACTCGTCAGACAGCTTCGCCAAAAACGATTTTTATGACTCATTCAGTGTGCTTGTTAGCAAGGAATGTTTCATTCGGTGAACGGATTCATTCTGTTCACCTGCAGCTCACTACTGCTCTGAAGCCAAAAAATGCTCATCAATTGGAGAAATATAATGTGTTTATGTTGATTGCCACACCAGAGTCCCATCAAACTTTTGGACTCAACTATTTCGAACTCCTATTAGTTCCCCTGTATTACAAATGAAAGATGACAGGTTACCAGTGGCACGTAGACCACTAAGGTAACTTTTCCTTTGTGATACTTATGTAAACCAAGTCAGCTCAGATAAAGTTATGTGCAGTTTATAGTGCCTGAGGGAGCTGAATAAATTGGATATTTTGTACTGAGTTAACTCTGGAATAGGGGACTGAGTAGATTATGACCCTCACAAATCATATGTAAAACCCTGTAGCTCTGATAAACTTTGTGGATTTAAGATCGCTTATTGGTCAGTTTTTCACCCTTGCCCTCTGCAAGTCCGACTACAAAGTTATGCTAACGTTTTCCAACAAATTGATAAGGCTAGCAACAAGGTATGCGGAACTCAGTTTGCAGAAAATACAACACATGCACTTCATACTCCGTATGGCTGAAAATGTTTTTGCAGTTTTAGACCGATATGTTTTGAAATATTTTTTCCTATTCTTATGAAAAAGCTCAAAATGGATTGTGAACAAGAGAATATTCTTGACCAATATATTTTCCAGTTGTGGTTTCATCAAGCTGCCGGAGATCTACCGTCCCTCGCTCCGATACCACGCAAGCTGTGTGAAAGTAGCTAATTTATGCTTCACTAAAAGGACGGATTAAGGAGCACCGCTCCTCAACAAGTATCACCCAAAATACCAACCCATTGTGGTGCACACTTTAAGGCTCGATTATCAATGATAGAAACTAAAGTTTTCACACCACGTCTGGTTAATTCGTTTTGACTCAGCAGTCAATTTTATTACGAACTGTGGATCAAAAGGGCCAGCGTCTGCACCACAAAATATATTTATTCCAACAACGGCTTCCCTGAATGACTGACGAAAACTGAATCGATATTTACAAACGCAAAATTGTGGAATGTAGGTAGCTTGGGTGCATTGCTTGGTTGTTGGTCTGTTCACCGAGCTTGGCAGTTGGATTGCGAACGTTTCATCGCCAGTTGACATCGTCAGTGTCCTCAACACTTAGGAGGATTTGAACCAAGCTCTGGACATACCTTGGTCACTTTTTACTACCAGGTTTCCATTGGGTGCTGGTCTCTCTGAAACGAACTCAAATATAGGTCCTCAGAATGGAAAGAAAAAGGTAAGGACGCGGAAATTCATTTGGATTTTGGGGCTTCAGAATATTGCAGCTCACTCAATCGTAAATCACCGTCTTGGTGAATACGGATATCGTTTCAAATATGTTCATGCTATTCAGAGTATCGCACAAATCTACGGACGATTGTCTGAAGAAAACCCCAGAAAAATTTCAAGGTCATCTATCCTGCCATATGATATTATCGATTGGTGCATCAGCACTGGTGGTGGGAGACCTTTCAGAATGACTGTAGGTCACTAGCCCATGCGGAATAGTTAAAAAAAATCCAAAGACGGCTTGTGATTCGTGAAGAGGAGCAAAGAAGTAGTAATGCGTTCATGGACACGCATCCATCTAATCCACTCCAGCTGTGCGGAGTACCGATGCAAGTGTAAATAATAATGCTTTCAACCAGATTGAAAAGGGAATTGATGAACTTTATCGAGAAACACATTCCTAAACTGTGTGGAGGGACGTATAAGCTAATAACACTATCCTAGTACAAAATGAAGAAAAAACTGCCTATGACTACTAAGACGATGTGAAAGAAGTCTAGTCACTGAATAACTGACTGACTGAAGAGGCGAAGACATGATCTTGGTGTATTCAGGCATAATACGATATTTCCTGTTGTTTAATAAATAAGAGGTAAGAGCTTACTGTTGCTTTGACGCTGGCGGATATTTCGTACCTGAGGGTAGTTATTTTGAGTTGTAGTGCGATTAAATGTTGTACAAGTCAAATGCATTAGTACTCGGCATCATGCCAAAAAGAAGTTAAACCGAAATCTCTGCCCATACATAACAGTCACTTGAATACGGCTCCACACGTGCGTACTAATCTTTGGTCGCTGGGTCTATATAATAAAATTCATGATCTACACACTAAGTGAATTGTCTTCTTGCGCCAGAAATTGGTAATTGGCTTGTATTTGACATAATAGACGTATACAGCAGCTCCTGCCACAACAAAATATTGCATCTGATATTAGCTATTGCTTGTCTATCTTTTGCTAGTACGGCCGTGAACCGAGTAAATTACTTCGAAGAGAAGAAGATCATATTCAGCCCAAGGAAGGCGCACTCAACCAAGTAACTGGTTTCCTCTATGGAAGCGATTTGCATAGAGATCCGTATCAAAACGCGTGAGATCCTTTTTAGGAATCAGGGACCACATAAAGAACAATCATTTTCAGCTGCGCAGAATTAACAAAATGTTCTCCCTGTATTGGGGAGAAAATGGCTTCCAAAGTGTGTCGTAAAAAATGTATCTGTGTTCTACGGGGGCCACCATCTAATAAAGTCGATCGCCCCGGTCATTCATAAGTTCCTTTCTATTCATATCAGGAGAGATTAACAAAGCCCTAGATGCATTCATGCTCACACACTCTCTCTAGAGTCTCATGATGTAGCAGCGAAAAATACCGACAGGTTTTTATTTTTGATAAACGCGAGAAATTTGGGGCCTTACACGAAAATTCATACCTTTAACTGTTTCTCAAAAGCGCCCTCCTTGGTAGTACTTAACAATAAACTATATCCACAATATTGACAAAAGTAGCCGCAGTCAAATGACCACAAGCGGCCATTCGATGGGAGTTCAACAGGTAGACGGAAGAAACAGGTTAAAAGCTACTTGCATAACTGTTTCGGCTGATAGTCTTCCAGATCATAAGTGGAGTTAAACGGCGCTTTAGTCCGTCGAGTCACAACTCGATCCAGCCAATGTTGCTCAAGGATAGGCAAAATTGTTTTTAAGAAAACGTATTGTGTGCTTGCAAAGTGTGTAAAATGAATTCAGTTGGCGTTCTCGAAACATTTCAGCTGAATAGTGCCACCTGAAGAAAGCAGTGGCAACAGGCCACACGAAATGAGCTACAAAAAATAAATTCACTTGGAAAGTTATCAGAATGTTGGGCATCGGTACCGTGGTATCCCGGTGTATCGTGCGGCAGCGCATTAAGCTAGTGATCCTTTCATGGATGGAAGTAGCCATGTCGTCCTGCTTCTGCCAGGAAAACTCCAGAAGTTTGTATACCTCTAAACAAACACCAATACTTGCTACGCCTGCACCAGTGCTTACACAGTACCGCCGGATAGGGCTGTGGTGACAGACCAGATATGCAACTGCCAGAGAAGAACGCAACACAGGTGGTCAACCCAAATACAAGGTGGCTTGAAGATTACTGACTTACGTGGATTTAGGCCTTTCTGCTTGTAAATGTGCACACGCTAATTAGTCACCTGTGGGAAAGTTCACGCAAATGCGTTAACTACGTATCTAAATGATGTTCCTTTATGAAAAGATGTTCGGAATAATTCAGCATTCCCATATCCCTTTTATATAACCACTATTTCCAACAGCTTTCAATTTATACGTACATGACTGTTCTTGTTTTGAAGTTGAACTCTACTAGAATGTACTGTATGAAACACGGTCTGGGTTCTGTATGGATGGATACATGGGGAAGAAATACATCACCAGAACGACAACTGCGCTTAACTGCAAAGAGGTGGCACACTTGATCAGTTAAAAATGATACTTTTGTGTGTAAAAGCACTGGACGTTTTAGTTGTTCATTGTGATAATATCTTTCCTCAACTTATCGAGCTGGAAAAAAATCACCGATGTTCTTATTTCGTAGACTGTATGCGGGAAACTTCACTTACAGATTTCGAAACTATACTTACGTGGCATTCTTGCTTGAACTGGGTTCCACTTAGCAAATTTTTAAGGACAGAAGAATTGCAACAAGGTCCATTTCTTGCGTCTTTGAATACAGAGTTCATTTTCACTTCAGTCACTGTCTCAAAGGCAACACGTAAAACTCAGTTGTGCGCAAATCAGTTGATTCACTCTCGAAAACCTTTCAAAGTAATACCAACAGTCTTTCTCTCAGGATTCACCGTTTTTCTCCTTGACAGTGATTATGTCAATTTCGTTTCAACTTTTCACGGCACTTCATACGTTCAATGGACGCGAACCATCAAACCACTGGTCGCTGTTTCTGAGCATTCTTGTGTGATGAAGCCACGAGAACGAGTAAGGGTTTGTATCAAACCTTTTGACAATCACAGGGAATCAAACCGAAAACTTTGGTGACAGCAAAGGAGACGACGAGAAGTTTAACAGGAACATCTATGTACAAAGTACTGATGAACATTATAGAGATTTATCAACTCCAACTTCTTGATGAATGTGTGATTGATTCCAACAGCGTGTTCAGATTAGCACGGGTGATTTGATGGGTAAGTAGCTGTTCAGATAAAATGAATCTTTCCCTTGTCATCATACAGTGTGGTTCCGAAAGTAAAGCTCAAGTCTCCATAGAATCCACGGTTTGAAATTTAGGCAAGGGATATATTTTGAAGATCCTTATTTGTGAAACCACAACCCCCGACCAGTAGTTGGAAAAATAACCGTTCGGCGACGAGCAGCTGATCAGTTCTGATTAACTGGTAGACAGGAGATAACGCAACTAAGCTTTTAGTCACGAATCCCCATCACATGGTGACCTTTTAACTTGCTGCGACAGCAATCACTTCTTTGGTGAAAGTCTCACCCACCTTATGAAATTATTCTTTCTTGTGGTAGTGAGGGACGGTCTAGAATTTTTCGACTGCAATTTCATCCCTCAAGTGACGCCAATCTGCGCTGAGGCGGTCAACAAGTAACCATGCGATGAAGCTTCCGTGATTGAGAAGTATTCCTGTCTAACTGGTACAACTGATTAGCCTTTGATGGACGAACGGTTAGGTGTCCAGTCAGTGGCCCGAAAAGTGTGGGATTGAGACTCCTCAGATTTAATCCCTGCGTTTCATGAGATGCGTGCTGCTGCTGATCTTCAACAAGGATGAAACTGTTGTAGAGTACTTCTCGGATTACCGGCATAGATTGGATTCACCTGCTGGAAGAAATCTCACCTGACAAGTTAAATCAGTGAAAATTCTGAACCAGAGTTAGCATAAAATAAAAATGCGATTTATTATTGTTGTTGATAACGATGCTAATCCTTGCTACTAGTCACCAACGCGTTCCCAGAATCACTTCGCCACTAATGATTTTTTGTGGGCAATAACTTAGACGTGAAATACCCGGGACAGTATGAGAATATCGATATTTAGGTGGGCGGTTTTTCTATCCACAGACATGCTATCACTCCGGCCCGAGGATCTTCATTTTCTCCAAGAAATGTGTAGCAAATTAGTTCAGAAAAAACGACCATCTAAAATTGTCCTTGTAGAAATATCAGTGACAAGGCAGAACACGTGCCAAGCTAAGTGTGTTTTGGTTCAGATAAGCGGCCAGTTCAATTGATCTATCATTCTCGCGAATGATCCATAAGTATTGTAAAGTCTGGGCTGTGGGATCGAAGCCAAGTGTGCACAAAACGTAGCTTAAATCTGGCCCAAAAGCAGACCGTAGACAAAATAGCAAAATTTTGAACAATCGCGCGTATCGTTGTTAACATTGCCAAGCTGGTGGTTTGTGTAATTGATTAATATTGGTTGGGACATACGGCCTACTTACGATATCTAGGTAGCGGATGAGTTACAAATCGGACTGGTACAAGGGTAGTGCTCCAACGTTGATAGATATGACAGGCGTTTGTAGCTACGGTAACAGCTCGGACGGTAATGCTGTCTAAGAACCAAATTTTGGTGTCCGAGCATTGTGATGTGTCACGTTTCACCTAGTCCATATATCTTTACGTCAAACTTGAGCAATCATATTTTTCAGTCGATCTACATGGCATCGAATTCGCATTGCAAATTTAATCGTACTAAGTTTTCCAGAATATGGACAAATTCGCTGATATTTACATGAGACCAGCAAGCAAATTTTCATTTGAATCCCTTGATTCCTGTGTTGGCGCTTCTGGTTACTATTTGGAATAATCTGTCTTCAACTGAATAAATCCGAAGATTTACAACCGGAGTTCGAAAAACGAATAAACTGGTCGTTGGCTTGTTCGCTGAGCTGGGAAATTTGGTTGCAAACGTTTCATCACCAATCGAGGTGACATCATCAGTGCGTAGTTGTGCGTAGCGGTGCGTTAGTGGTTGTGCGTTCAGTAGTGTTACGTGTGTTGATATACGTGCTGGTAGCCGAGGATGACCTTTGACCGCGATTAGTTATTCGGTCGGGCGGTCCCATTGGTTGTTCTTTTTATCCCGTGTCCTCATTCGCCGATGCCCACGTGACTTTTGAACTTGGCATCCCTCGCCGCCGTAGTCTAGTCGATGTTGGAGTGACCTTTGTCCTTCCGAGTTCCGGTTGTGGCCTTTATTGATTTGAATCCGAGGAGTTCCTTGTTTCTTCGTTTGTGAATCCATTATTCGGTCCTCCTTGAGTGTTTCGGTTGCGATGTTGATCTCTCGCGCGTAGAGGTGCGTAAATTGGATCCAGTTTGATGCACCGGTTTATTGAACCTGTCGTAGAGTACCATGCTTCCGGAAATTCTCGTCCGTGTCGCGTGTCTCCGTATGCCAAAATTTTCGCGTTTTCCAGGTTGAATTTGTGGCCTTCCTGGTCCTCGTGTATGGAGATCAAGGACAGGACATGCCTCCTGACAGCCGCGTTGTGTTCCTTTATTCGTGTACATAATTTTCTCCCAGTTTGTCCAACGTAGAATTTGTTGCAGTCGTTGCAGTCGATTTGGTATATCACATTGTTCCTCTTGGTTTTGTCCCGGTTGTCCTTCGGTCTAGAGATTAATTTCCTTAGAGTAGCACTCGGTTTGTGGGCCACGAAGATTCCTTTATGCGCCAATAATCTGGTTTGCCAGCACGTATATCAACACACACGTAACACTACTGAACGCACAACCACTAACCCACCGCTACGCACAACTATGCACTGATGATGTCACCTCGATTGGTGATGAAACGTTTGCAACCAAATTGCCCAGCTCAGCGAACAAGCCACCGACCATCTACGCTACCTGAGCTACCGACATTCTCCTCTATAGAAAAACGAATAAACTTCTCGAAGCGGCGATCAGCGGAAAATAAGGTGGTTGCGAATCGCTGAGTCATCTAAAATACCAGTTTTCCGCTGCAAGTAGTGACAGACAAAAAGTCGGGAAGAAACTGAATGCGACGAGACTGCTCGCTATGGCCTGTATCGAAATGACTGGTATGGAAATGTGAACGCACTATTAGTTCTTCCGGATGTCAATCAAAACTAATCCTGCCGAAGCTGTGCTGAAGCACATCATGCTGCATTTCCCACCGAAATTCATAGAAAGTTGAGCTTGTTGGGAGGACCACGTAGAGGTCGAAGCTAAGCACGCGAAAACATTCCGGTCCGGTAAGGCAAGAGCAATTTATGTCCGGATGTTACCCGATTGCACAACCTCCGTCAGGTAAAACATGAAGACGAGACACTACTTGACTGTGTCCTGGACTAGCGCGTCTTTAGTTTGCTTCGTAGAGTAGCTGCATTGTTTTAGTTAATTGTTGTGAAAAATAGAGGTATTTTTCACAGGTATTTCTAGTGAATAAAGTGTTCATCACGATGGGTGATGGACATGTTTCCGACAGTGATCATTTTTTGGTCTCTCGGTAACTAAGTGTTTCTGGAATCACAAGAGGCAGTACAACACAGAAGCCTCCAAAGCTTATGGTCACCATTGTTGTGAAAACCTCAAACAGAAAAAAACTTGCTACTGATGGCAGACCGCATGACCCTTTTTCCTACCATCTAACACAATTACCCCTGTAGACCCAGGAAACAAAAGAACAACACTTTTTCTAAATCTATAACCTGAAAGTTACTGGTTCTTTGTCATACCTGGTTATATTTCTTATTATTCCTGATTTAGTCAACACGCCTTCCAACCTGACTTCGTGCGAAGTTCTACTGGAGCGGTCGCAAATTCACATCCCTTGTAAAGAGGATTATTCGTTAGGTGTAGCTTCCTACAATGATAACAGCTGACGGTTGGACCTTCCAGTGTGTTCCTCAAGCGCCGACACGCCTTCCGACTTCGTGCGAAGTTCTACTGGAGCGGTCGCAAATTCACATCCCTTGTAAAGAGGATTATTCGTTAGGTGTAGCTTCCTTTCCTAATAACAGCTGACGGTTGGACCTTCCAGTGTGTTCCTCAAGCGCCGATATATATATATATATATATTGTATAAAAATGATGTGGCGCTGAAATAAAAAAATTTCGCAGATCAACTGAAAGCAATCGACTGCGATCGTTTACTTGAAATAACCCCTCTTGGGTTGAACTCTCCATCTGGTTTGATGTATGTTTATTCTGGAAAATAAATTTTATCGTTTTGCATAGTCCTGTCCTGATGATGATAAAGGGATTTCTCCCATCCGGGTGTAGGAATCGCAAAACCTTCATCTTCCAGTCCAATTGAGAACACCTGAATAACTTACTTGTAAACAATTGCCTAATAAGGTTGTTTTTGGAAAAAAAGAGCTAAGTGCAAATTGCGCACTACCACTGTGTTTGTGATTATCTGCTGTCCTATATGGACCCATGGGTAATCCTTGCGGTGCACATTTGGTTGAAAAACATCACAAAATCTACGAGGGGTACATTCTAGTTGGTGTGCACCTCTGATAAATAAACGATCCCTCATAAACAGTTTATTCGAGGTGGCAGACAAGAAATAAAGGAATCTACGACTGCAGCAGGTTGAGCAACCCTGCCTAGCTCATAAATACAAACAGTCGTTCTTCTGAAGAAGGAAAGCCTTTTTCCAAATGCGGCACGCATTACGAATACTTGCAAACCCAAGTAAATTTTTCACACAACCCATCGCTACTCTGACAGCACATTGTGCTTCTCCATATACACTCAATCGCTCCTCAACTGCTCGACACAGAAGACGTTTTTCTCCCTTTTTGCATCAAGAACGTGTTTTGTATGTAGCTTCTTCGAGACAATACTATTTCCAGATAAATTACCCTATATTTGATCAGTTGTTTCATAATGTTTGTCAATAGCCACACCACTCTCATATGAACGGCCGTGTTCCTGTTCTGGCGTAATTCTTTCGGTGAGTCCACACCAAAGGGAAGCACCGGACTCGAATTTAGCTCTTATTAGAGCTCATCAGCAGTGCATATTCAATGGTCGTGCTGGGATTTGAACCCCGGACATCTGACATGCGGGGGGAGAGTGTAACCACTACTCCACCAACGCACGTTGGACGCATTTGAATTTTCCCGTCTGAACAGGCGAAATTGTTCACCCTTGAGCGATGTGATTGGTGTGCCCGACTGATCGAACGACGACCCAGTAACTGTCCTGGTTGTGACGATCGATTGACCGGGCAGGTTTGAAACCACTGAACAGTTCAGATCCGCTCCAGTTAAGAGCACTCTGTCCATAGATCTGGAACAGAGAAGCTGTGTGTGAATTTCGGTCACATAATTATTACACCCTACCTAGACGATTTGATGTCCGGGAAATGACGAGATCACAAATAACTATACTGGTTTTGTTCTGGTCTTCAGGCAATTTACTTTAGGGTACATGGAAACTCAATAAAAGGTAGAAAGTCATTTAAAATATACATCCAACACAATAATGCAGTTAGTTCCCACGCAAAGACTGCACAAGACAAGAGGCATACGCAAGGGTTGCGGCGGCCTTAAGTCCTGTTTAGGAAATCTACCCAAGCAGAGAAGCTCTCAGATGCAGCCCGCAAAGTGCACCCGAAAGACTCCCGCTTCGCGGTAGCGATATTTATTCCCAAAATTAAGAAGCCATAAAAGCCAAGGACTCTAGTATCCAAACTTTATGATGTTTCAACTTCGGTTAACACCAAAGGTGACGTAAATGTACTGTGGTATAAATATGAGGCAAACCTGGCTCACTACCTATATAATGATCTAATTGTACGAATCCAGTTATATTTGGGTTCAAGTCACATACCCATCTTTAAGTTCATTTAAAACCCAAAAAGTCGAGCTCACACTGAAGACCGATTTTGGTCATGTGGACAACCGACGTCTCCCCCATTTGGATCACATGTTTTTTATGAACTAGTGGTAGGGTGTTTTATCGTGGCAACAAATTATCCAACTGAAAGCACGAAGTGGAAAAATCTGTCTGTAAAATATTTCACACCTAGTTTTATGTTATAGTCCGTCTTCACGTGACAGCCGATTATTTCATTGATTTGAGTCGCGGTCAGCAGCCTTTTTTTTCTCTTGGGTAGGAGGCCCAGTTCTAAATCAACCTGTGCTTACCAGGCCGAGGACGAAATACATTCATTTGGGAGGTACAGTGGTTCTAATGGGAAGCGCAACAAGAACTTTCCTTTATGTTTCTTCTGCAGCTGTATGAGTAGTGTGTTACGCTGAGACAATATAACTCGGCCTATCAAATATCCTGTCAACTGGAACATAAAGCGGTCTTGTTTTGCGAATTCAGCTAGGAAATATCGTAAATGAATGATGTGTTTGAGTTCTTTTACATGACCGGTATATACATATATATATATATATATGGCAAATCGGTATGTTTCGTAAATCCATCATTTGAAATTATTTTTATTTTAGCGCATGCAGTGCATTTGTCTTGAAAGCAGAGTCCTTGAATGCATTCCAGTGGATGCTCATATAATTTCCATCTTCAAAACCTAAATCTTTCCATCTGCTGCTTACTCGGTCTACAGTTAGGATCGTGGGAGTTCCGTTACAAGCCGGCTATTTTCTTAACATATTCTTCCCAAGTACTGACGCAATACGTCACCTGGTACATTTCTCATTTTATTTGTGGTCTTGCTCATTTTGAGAGAACACTTCAATGGGAAACTCCGTAATGTTCTTTTGCCAATTTTAGCAGTCCTGTCACAAATCCACCTGGATAGTCGGTGGGCCAAAAACACCTGAAATTCGGTGGAATGGATTTCAAACCCCTTGCTGATAATTAGAGATGAAAACAAAGTGGATTCAACTGTAACCTCAAACATCAAATTCCTTTGTTTCTTACACACTTCGTACTTGATTCTGCAACTTACCGCTTGCTCAATCTATCACTTTGGTTCATAGCAGAGGTGCGTTACACAAAGCGCGTTCCAGTGCTACGTCACGGTTAACCGGATGTCCCGAGGGACCTGTTGAAAAGATGGTAACAACAACAACAGTGACAAAGTCTACGATTGTTTACTTTTCCCTCGTAGCCGACATGGAAATCAATATAAGTTGTGATCGATAGACTCAGTGGGCATAAATGATTAACAAGAATGACATAATTGTTGTCTAGGCATTTTGGTAAACATGTGGGCAGGGTTTATTTGTTAGCACTGAAGCAATCAATGCACGTCACTGAACATCTGGGTAATAATTTTCTCTAGCGAAGAAGGGAGTACACTTGACCTCCTATGTCTGATATGTTATTTTGAAGCAAGTTGGATCTTCTATCCGCCCATCCTGGTGGGGAATTTTGGGACAGTTGATTATTGTAGGAGTCCAACTAAGAAATTATGTCGGCTAAGAGGGTCAGTGTTTTGATTTTGAGACCAAGTTAGCAGTTTCATTAACTTTAAAAAAAGCAAACAAATCAAAACTCTTTCAGCGTTATATTTCTGCTGATTTATTGGGCTGGCAATCAAATACACTCTAGCTAAGATATGAACTATATATATTATATACATGTATATATGGTATATACGTTTCCAGTCGTGCGCTGACGATCTCGAAATGTTTGCAAGCTAGTCGCTACAATCAAGCAAAGAGAAAAAACAAATGAACGACGGCCAATTACCCTGAGTTACCAAGAGTTCGATAAACGGCTCTTTGGATTGCTTAAGCGTGCAAAAGGGTACTCCTTACAGACGAATTTTAGAAACAACTTCATTCTACTTAATTCGTCTGCCTGTTTCCAGACACATTAATTGCTCAAGTTACGGCCCAGTGGAATGGAAATTTAAACATGAGCTGAATTTGATTTGAGCCACGCTAGATCAATACATATTCTGATCTCTATCCAACCATTCATCATTACAGGGAATTGGTCTAGTCCATTTGACATCTGTAGATAATTTTCCACAAACTCCTACCACATTGGAACATGTATAAGTGTTAGGGTGAGATAACAATAGCATGTTGTCTTTCACGTTATCATTCTCAGAATAGCATATATACATGTATCAGGCGTCCAAGATGGTTGTGATCTTTCTTTATGAAAAAAGTTCCGGGTGTGCATTAACCGTATTTTAGTTTTCATTCTTATCCAAATTTAGCGGATATTTGGATAGGATGGGAGATAGCTACACCCAAGGGGTCAGTCCGAGTACACCGGCACGCTTCGTTAGAAAAAACCAATAGGATGAATATGACGGAATTTGAGGTAGTAGACCACTGCCTTAGATTTAGTAGTCAATCCATCGAACAAACCTCATCCAAATACTGCATTCGCTTACGAATCCAATCAAATGAAGAGAATTACATTGAACACAATGACCCACAGAGAAGCAGGGGATTGTCTACCAGTATATACATCAAAACACCACTCACCTAAAGATTTGCGCGTTTTTTGGGTGAGTAGAAAAAAACCAGCGTACTGAGTTCGGTAGATTACGCACAGTGCGTTTCTTCTACATTTAGGAAACGAAGAACAAACGATTTCGGAACCTAAGAGATAACTTGGCGCCTGTGTATTGAAATATTCAGACCCAGATGTATCGAACTTGGCAATCTCCTTCGTATTGAACAGGGCAGTTCAATTCTAACTTTAATCCACCAAGGTCATAAACTGTATTAGTGACCGACCATCACAAGCAATATTGACGTTTTAAGCAGAGGAACTACGAGGGATGTGTGCTCGAAACCTGTGCGAATGCGTAACCATTTTACTCAAAACGTGTCATAACTCTCCATAGTGGAGGGCGTCATGCACACGAAATATTTTGGATTGTCCAGCAACTTCACTAAGTTGAGTAACAGCTCAGTCATCTTTTGCTTATAAATGCAATTCAGTGTCCTGAAATTCAATCGAGGCAAGCCAAACAGTTATTCGCTAGCCGATGATTTTTTCTACCTATCATCTCACTGTTTTGAACCTACTCTTTAGAGGTTCCATCTTACTACCTCAAAACTTACACAGGGGTTTGATGTGTCTACCAAAATATATCCTGGAAGCATTCATCACATATTTCCTACAATTGTTTTCTCCAATTCCAAATATGTGGTTAATTTTCTGGTCATTTTTGTGATTGGACCAAATGTTACTTGCTGGACGTAGGCTTTTGGTTACTGTGCTTCCAATTTACAAAACTTAAATTATTACTGCCATAGCTCTGTTGGTTTTCAGTACTTATTCTAGGTTACTCAGTAAGAAACGTTAGTTCACAATGACAGTATATTTGTCACTATCTAGCCCCGTCATTAATGTTATTGATTATGATAAGATAACATTAATTTTCTGTAACATGAGCAGCTTTCTTAAACATGAACTTGTATCCATTAAGGTTGCTGCACAACACGTGTTGCAGCCTCACGTAACGATCAATGTTTATGCTCAAGATGTATTACTTTCTTATCGCATAGGGCGTTAACTGTTTCAGTCACGTTCTGCTTTCCAAAATTAGGCAAATTATACACCTTCTTTTTGAACGTTTCCTTATCAGCTTTCTTCCGTCCCTGTGCCAGGCTAGAGACCAGGAAAGTCCTAAAATTAGGCTCATGTATTCCTTTGTCCTTCGTCATCCTGGGGGAATCTTGCCGACAAGACTGTATGTAGAAGTGTTCCCCACAGTTCTAATTCTAAGTTATGAATTTATTCTTTCAAGTTTAGATTTAAAACAGCATCAGAATAATTCGACGTTTTTGGTGCCATGAGTAAATTTTTCTAAAATTTTTCCCACCTATTGAGTGCTAGCCAAGTGCAAGTTTATTTGGGTCCGCCATCATGTTTTCTGCCAGGCGCTTCTGAGATCAGCTGAACACCAAATCCGATAATTGTTTTGCTGCGCGTAAGCTCTGTGTCCTCGAATGCGTGATTTTGTGCCTGGGCTGGGATATCTTCGTTTGTGATATCGGCTATGATGAGTCATCGTTGGGATATCGGCTTTATCTCTGGCCACCGTGCAATGGGTTCAAGCTGGATAGACTGGATAAAGACTACAGCCGACACAATTCAGGTGATTTCTGGTTTCTGACCCTCCAACACACGTGGGAAACAACTCCTGACTGGCGTGTGAGTGTCATGGAAATCATTTCGTGATTTTTCTCGAGCGCATGAAGTGCGATGACTAACATATTGAGGTATTTTTAAACTAGACGTATTGCATGGGGATGGCGCATTTATCTTTTGTACTATTTGGCTGAAAAATGGAGGTGCCTGGCCTATGTACCTGGCTGGACAATCTGCACAGGGAATTTGGC